GCTGCGAGAACATCCCCAAAAATAATAAATGGGTCCAGAGCAGCTCCTGCTGAAACAGCGGCTAAATTAATGTTCCCAAGTCTGCGTCCTACAGTCTGAACCATCATCAATCAAACATCTGCCACATTTGGGTCTTTAGGATATCTGACTACAACATTATGAAACAACCACTGCAAGTTTTTTTTTTACTTTTTACATCTGCTATTATCATCTAATCATGGTGATCCAATCGCAGTGGTCGACCAAGAGGAGAATGACCATTTACAACTGGCATTAACATGTATTTAGATTAATCTTTTGAGACCACTTCTGTTCAGATTTCATCAAGACCATCTTATGGCCTGTTTCCACTGATTGGAACAGCTCGGTACAGTATGGGTCACCTTTATCAGGCTTGCGTTTGCACTGCCAAAAGGTTACCATTGGTACCCTTGGTTGGCGTGGTGTACGACAGTCAACGTTATTCTCATATCTGCATCTTTAATCCTCACCAGCACATTTCACCTGTGTTAGAGGTATTTCCGTCATTTTGAGTGAGTAAAAAGGCGATGATAGTAGTTAAACATAGCAGTTTGTTCATGTTTTAAAATTATGGTGTAATGCAAGGTTGCTTAAAGAATTAGGGTGTAATATCTTGGTTATGTATTTAAAAATGGTGCTCCCTTTGTTTTCATTTTCCTGCTTCTGCGAGTGAAGCATCTCTGTAAATCAATAGCGTTCAGCTGCGTGTCTGGCTCTGCCTTTTGGTACCCTTTTGTTGTGCTATGTACCCTTTCGAAAGGGTACCCAATAAGTGGTACGGTACAGTTCACTTTTTGGTACCTTTTGACAATGGAAATGGCCATAAAAGTGTGCAGCCCCGTACTGTACCACTCAGTGGAAACAGGTCTCTTTCATAGGAGCCCTGCACAAGTTATATCGGATGAATGAACCCATGTTTACATGGATTATTGGTAAGTAGGAAAAGCAAGGGTGGAAAAAAGGTGGATGGCAATGGCAATTTCCATCATAATCTGTTTGTCTTGGTTGAGCACAGAAAAGGATGAATGCATTGTTGTGGTGCTCAATGCCTCATTACAATCCCTTGTTATGTCAGTTGGTGGATAGTAGGTGGTGTTTTGCAGCTGTTCAAAATGCACTCAACCATATGTTGCATTTAAGCTACCAAAGCAATTTGCTCAAATGTCTTCACATTACGTTCCTGAAAAAAATGTACTCACAATTGCTGTCCTGAGAAAAAAAACAAGGCAATAGCTTTTTAGACTATACACAAAATGCCAACTGAGTTTGACCTGCTAAGATATCCAATAAAATTATAGTGCAAGAGAAATAGCAGGAGAACATAGTGTCTCTCTGTATCACAGATGATTTGAACAGTTTCAGATGTTCTTGTAAACAATTAAATGGCACAACTGTATGATGTGATCATAGTTTAGGGTGTAGAATGTGGTGTGGTACCAAAATACTCTTTGTTTACTGTTGTGTAGAGGATGAGGTTAAAGGCAAACTGAAATATTCACACGACACATTCACAAGTGTTACAGTGGGCAGACTGCTAAAAGCTGTAATGTTGATCTGGGCCACCTTATACCTTGCTTAATCACATCATGCTCAGGGGCCATTTGCACAAAAGTTTTTAAACAAAAACAGGAAACTTTTAAAAGCATTTTGACTGTTTGTTTACATGACAGTGCAATTTTTAGGACTGAAAATCCATAAATCTGAAAAAAAAAAAAATTCAAACGATGCTGTTGTGGTGTTCATGTAAATACCCAAATATGCAAGCATTTGAAAACAGTAATGCCATGTGCATGCATAGTATATGTTTATGGAAGTATATATTAAAGGCAATTGTGAATAAACACAAACATCACTGAGTACATGGCAGTCCTGTTGTTGCTCAAGTCTTTGCTAATGCTTCATCAGCAAAAGCAGGATTTGATTGGGACGCATCTTACATGTATGTCAAATTCTACATTCACACCAGCAGGGGATTGCAAGTTTGGTTTATATGCTTCGATGATGAACACAGTCAAGCATGCCAATCACCAGAGTTAAGCAAAAAAGTTCACAGTAGTGCAAAAACTTGCATCTTTATGCCTCAAAGAGTTAGATGAAGCAATCAGAAATGGTTCCGCCATGTTGCTGTTGTCATGTCAAACACTTGCCCTGTCTCAGAATTCTTCTGATTGGTCCACTGCTTTGGAAATGACATTAATGAGCTTTGCTGCATGATGGATAAGGGTTGGGTTTAACATTTAAAGGTTTAATACACAGTCTCTTAATTATAATGTTTTATTTGTCACTATTAATTTTATACTATTACAAAATATTCTCCAAATGTCTTCAAAAACATAAACATCATTTTAAATGACTGCATGATCACACAAAGTGTCTTAATTACGTTGTTTTAAACATTCATGAAGGCTCCTTTGCCTACGTGCTGCGAATGTGTAACCGAGTAGCGTCAAGCTCACATCCGTGGCACCCCTGAGCAGGTTTTTACCTCAGCGTCCTGTCATCGATGATTCAGGTGCCCATCAGAGCACTGAGCTCCTTTTGTCCTGTGTGCCATGATGCCGATAGAGAACATGATCCGGGCCACGACAGGGATTGTGATAGGGCTTCTGGTTATACAGCCCTTCCTATATGTACGCAAGGCCGTGTTTGCTGTCATCATGTTTCTGGAGCAGGGGGGATCAGTTCAGATCTATCTGTCAGGCACTAGGTCATGCCAGAGAACTTTTCCTCTGCCTGTACTACAGCCCATGAAGGGCTGAGAAAGGCTTTGCCATGCTCCAGTATCATCCTTGTCGCATGGCACTCTGGGAGCCCTGCAGCTGCTGCAGTCATTCTCCGGACACGAGCAGAGATGAGCATCACGCTCTGTTTCCCATGAGGCCAGGCCCTCTTAAAAGCACTTCCAATAATGGGATGAAAGTTTTAAAGAGAAAATGGCTCTTTACTTTGCAATGATGATAAACTTTATGTAAAGTACGGCCACTAGCATTTCACCAATGAAAAAATGGATTCAATTCAGTTATTTCTATCTTTTGGTGTAGCATGTCAGTAGGTAATATCAGTTCACATTTTTAAACATTGTTTTGGCATTAGTTGTCATAATTGTTTTTTTTTTTGTATGCACAAGAAGTATGAAAGTAGCCAATGATCCGTTGCTTGTTGTTAATGATTTTACTTACTTAAACACTCATGCCATCTAAATGTTGCATTAGGCATGGAGCAGTTTAAGATTGTGATGGTATGATAACCTTGGATAAAAAGATAACGGATGAAGGTATTGGAATCACTGCTCTAAAATATATTCTTTTTAAACGTCTGGGTAGATACAAGAACCTTTTTTCCCTTTGAACACAATTTATTTTACATTGAGAAACTTTAAAAAATATTTTTAGAATAAACATGTCAGGTTAAATAAATTAAATAAATGATTGACTTCTGCTGTCTTCATTTGTTTCAAAAACACAGATTTTTTTACTATTTATAATGGCATCTTTGGATATCTTTTCTGCAGGAGATTCTGTTGTCCTAAAAAACAAAAAACTAGTTTAAATTAAAAAATATTTAATCATCTAAAATAAATACATTTTTTCATAAGATATGGACTCTTGACATATATAGAAGAACTTTATTTAACGCCTCCTCTTATTCTTGTAATTGTCATCATTGTAGATAATTAGAGGCTGGGATGTTGGAGCCATTTGAGATATTTATATATATATTTATATTTTATTTGTTGCATGATCGATTAAGATTAATAACATTATGCAGTATTATTCTGTGTCACAGATCGAATGATTTAGTGATATGGATTAGCTCCACCTAAATTTCAGGTCAGATCACCTGCTAAGGTAAGGGCACCCAGGTGATGGGTGATCAGCTGGCAGGAGTAGAGAAAAAAAAAGTTTTTTGACCGTGTTTGTTTGTAGCATTTGTAAGACAAATAAAATGAAGCTTGATGTTGATATAATATTGTAAACATCACTGCTACTGTGAAAACGGCTCCATAATAGATGTAAACTGTTATAGTAAATAACGATATAGCAGAAAATTTTGGCGGTTTTAAAACCTTGATTTTTCCAAACTACGGTATACATTGAAAACGGTTATTGTGCCATGCCTATGTGGCATAAACGCAATATCACACTAATATTGCATGGCTGCATTTACCTCATGCTTATGGCCAAATCAGATAGACAAATTAGATTTTGCTTTTAAACAAAAGTTCATTGGCTCAGATGATAGAACAAAAATAAATCGACAATAATTCATAAGATTTGTTTAAGGTAATAGTTGAATTCAGTAGTACACAAAAAATGGTGTTGAAACAAATTTTGCACTTGTAAATTTTACTTTTTTTTACAAATAAATAAAAGCAAACTGTATTGTATCATCCTTGTTAATGGTGCAAAACTACTTGGTTAATTTCCTGACCAACTTCAAGAACTGTCGTTTGCCTTTTTTTGGCTTTTAAATTTTAATGGCCTTTAAATTTTAAACGAAATAAGATTTTAAATTATGATTTAATCTCAATTAATTAAAAAATAAAATACTATTTCCGTTCCCAGTGATGTGTTGCTGGAAGGCATCTGCGGCTTAAAACATATGCTGGATAAGTTGGCAGTTCATTCCGGTGTGGTGACCCCTAATTAATCAAGAGACGTCGAAAACTAAAACTATGCTACAATTTTATAGCTTCTTATTTTTTCAGGGTTTTATCTTGTTGCATCCTGTATATCAGTAGAAAAAGGATATGCTGAAAACTTACTGAAGACTTCCTTTTTTTCTCAAAGCAATTTGACCTGATATGTAGAGCAGAACTGTTTCCATGCGGTAAACATTTTCATTTCTTGAAACCATTTATCTCACAAAATAATCAGTCAAAAACAAAATCTTACAATCAGTTATCAGTTAACCAAAGTTTTTGGAAGCAGATTCCACTTTAAGACCCAATGAACGAACACATATGCTCTTCACCCGACTCATTTTTTTCTAGAATCATGCGTTTTATTTTCTCACTCACACATGTTTCCTTACCAATAAAGTGTCAACAACTTTACATAACACTACACAGAAATATTACAGTACATATATAAACAAGTACATTTATAAACAACATCCTAGTAAATGCAATTTGACCCTTTTCTGCATGTAATATGACATACCACAATTTAAATCGATTTAACATTTAAATATCTTGCATATATATATATATTATAATATGTCATTTGAATATGCAGTTCCTCCGATCTCACTTCAAGCACCGTTATATTTCTCTCTGACGTCTTTTAAGTGAAAAAGTGCAATCAACAATCAAAGCTCACTTGTCTGTTTCTTAGAGGCCTTTATTCATTAACCTGGTGGGGAACAGTGTGTGCGTCATATGTGGCGGTTTGGGTGGGCCGCGATTCTGATTTAATCTCGCGCAGGAGCTCACTAAAGTAACCAGTCTTGTGTGCTAATGGCCACGTGATTGGCACAGACGCCTATCACACTCTTCATTAAGCCACATGCTTGAGTGGCCTTCTTATCTCTCATGACAGCTCACGTCATTCATAACACACACACACACACACACACACACACACACACACACACACACACACACGAGCAAGTACACAAAACCCAAAAGAAACACACACAGCCCTCTCAGGATTTAACAGACAGTACTTTTATGCCTCATTACTTATGTTTACGATGTTGTTTTTCTATTGCCATCTATAACTTAGAGGAAATCATAGTCCTGTACCAGTAAGAATGTCAATGTGTAACTATGCGAACAGAGCTGAAAGAAACATCTTGAATGACAATTAATAGTAGTTTAAGTAATGTTAAAGAAAAACCAATATTAAATGCATTAGTTTATATAGCTATTGTTATTATAATTTGTTCTATTATAATATTATTCTTGGACGAATCACAGCTCTGAATCAAAGCGAATGTAAATATGTGGATGGACCTAAAAGAACCTAAATTAAACAAAAAATAACATTAAAATGAATTAAAAATTTTAAACTGATTAATAAGATAAAAGCATACAGGTTAAAGTCATTCAAATGTATATTTTCACTAAGAAGAAAATGTAAAATGTTGATTTAAAAATTATACATATTTTCATATGGTTTTATCCTTTTTTTCCATTTTTAGCCCTATGAACGTCAAGAAAGACAATAAAGAAAATTATATGTCAATTATAAATTCAATTAATTTTAAAACAGCTATTACAATTGCAATAATTTTTATATAATAATAATAATAATTGTTATTATTATTAATATTTAGTAGGGCTGCACAATATATTGTTTCAGCATTGATATGGCTATGTGCAAATCTGCAAGTAACATTGCCGGATCTGCAATGTCAAATTGGGATTATAAATAACCAGAAAACAGTTCAGAACATATGCTTTGCGGAATTGTTGCAAGGATTAACTCAAATTTAATAAGATGAGAGACTTTTATTTGGATGTGTTTTTTTTTAAAGGCTTGTGACTGTAAGATTTTAAGAGAATTCTAGCCATTTGGGCACAAGAACTTAAAAAGTTTGCCACTTTAATGAAGTTTAATTGTCTTTAATCTTTTAATACAATAGTATAAAGACTATTCAATGTTGTTTTACGTTTGAGTATTCAATCTCTATATCTCAAAACTGGTAAAGTCCAACCAAAAACTAAGTATTGTTCATTTAATTTTTTATCTGCGCTTTAATTCATTTTCTTTCTTTCTTTTTGGCATAAATTCATGTATTTTATGCAGATGCATTCGATTACAAATCATTCCAATCAATATAAAAATATTAGGAATTCTTTCCAAATAGAGTCATCTTGTAAAATTACTTGCAGATCACAATTAGGACTGAGCGATTTGTCCTAAAAAAAAGAAATCTCGATTAATTGAACATTTGAACTGGATTACGATTAATGAACGATTATTTGATTTATTTATTACATTTCTTTGCATTCATAGTTCACAGATAGGTTTTGTACAGTAAATATGCTCACATATCACAAGTGAGAGATTTATGAATGAAGGGTGCTTAACTTGATTTTAAAATAATTCAAGATAATACACACTACCTGCTATCTATGATTATTTACTTCACCGTTGAAGAACTGGAATTAAAACACACACTGCCTAAAACAAACAGTAAACAAAATTAATTATTATTATGTTTTTCATATTAAAAGTAGAAAATAAGCAGAATCTCTTCTAAATAAAATACATCTTGTATATCCTGTAAATAATATTTAACAGAGCATTTATTGAACTTTATGTAAACAAATATTTTAATGTAAATAATAGTTTTATTGCAATGAAAACATGCTTTTCTGATGGTAGGGAAAGTAATTGAAAAAAATAGATTGATTACAGGTTCTGAATGTCAATTTAGGCCTAATAACATACAAAAATTAAAAATAAATTAAAAAAATTGCAGAAAAACAAAACATCAAAAGGTCATTTTTTCCAATATTGTGCAGCCAAATTATGTAGAATTTTTACTGATCTATAGGGAAAACTGTATCATTGCATATTTTTTTAATATGCTACATGATACATGTTTATAAATTCTATTTGCTAACAAAACCTGCACTTCATACACTTTTATGTTAAGTTTATATAAAATTTCTGCCCCAGGATAGTTTATTTAATTTCAGTTTTCACAGAAATAAAACAAAACTGTAAAACCCTAATTACACTTAAAAACCTCCCTAAAAATCTTGCAAAAAAAAAAAACACTAAAAAACCTTTGAAAACATCTGCCTTTAACCGTTTGACCTGTTTAAAAGAAGGACTTCCTGACTAGCATAAACAAAGTGCAGAGAATTGAGAATGGCTGCTCGACTCGGCTCGGGGCTCTTCTTCTGACACTAATGATTGACTTTTCCCCTCCTCGAAACGCGACTGACGTCATCAAAGCCAAAGCTGAAAACAGACCCGGGGGGGAGGGGGGTGCGCTAGAAGGACCACATTTCATGAGCATTACATTTTCACAGCAAAAACTTTGCATAAAAAAGAAATGTTTGTAATATTTAGTCAAGCTCTTCCAGGAGTTGGGCTTTGTGCAGTCAGTGCGTTTGCTAGTTTTGCCCTCTTTCAGTGAGCAGCTCAACACACAGACCTTCCTCTGTAGCCTCTACTGACGTCAGCAGTCGCCTAGCAACAGGCTTTTGGTGTAAAAGCAGCAGTGCTGACACTGTTTTCAAATAAGACTGAAACACACAGAGGGAGAGAGAAAGAGAGAGAGAGACAGACAGATGGTCAAAGTGAGAAAAAAAGCAGACAAAAAAAGAGGAGGAAAAAGGAGAGCAGCTCTGCTTTAAAGATATGTGGTTTATAGCGGTGTAATGTATTAGCACAGAAATTGAATGCTGCCCTAAATATGCAAAAATGTGAAGGCATTAAGCTTTCTGAAAACTTTTTACATAGACCACTTTGATTTAAGGTAATACATTTTCCATGTCTTTATGGAGCAATATACATGCAGAAATTAAAATGAAATTATTTTTACTGAAATTACATGTTGAAGACAAAATTATAAAATTAAATAATAAACCAAATAAAAAGACACATTAAATAACTTTAGAATTTAATTATAAAATTTCTTAAATCCAAGTAAAATATTTTTAATTATGATTATTATTATTTTTTTTTTTTATTAATGAATAACATTTTGGTAAAGTATTGTAAATAAAGTTTTTTTAAAAATCCAAAAAGCTTTGATAAAATAAGTAATACCTTAAACAATTTATTTAAATTGTAAATAAACTTTACAAAGAAATGTAAATCTATAGTCTTTAACTGTTTTTTTTTTTAATTTGTTGTTCTATTTGCTATCTTTTTATTAATTGTGAAAAGTTCAACCGACACCAATTGCTCCATACCTATTTCCCAGTTTGATTTAGCTAAACCTATTATATGCCTTCACAGTAGGGCTGCACAATATATAGTTTCAACATTGATAAATCGCAATGTAATCCATCGCAATAGACACATTGTGAGTATGTGCAATGTTGAGTCTGGATTATAATTTATCATTTTGTAAATGTTTATTTGAGGCCTGTGACTGTGTGAGGATTTTAAAAGCATTCAGACATAACAAATTGTACCGTTTGTAACCTTTTTAAAACTTTTTTACCATTTGTAAATAATTGTATTGAATTGTTTATAAAACGAAGACTATGCATTATTATTTTACATTTGATTATTCAATTACTCTACACAAAATATTTTATTTTAAGAAACATTTATAATATTTTGGAGCAGTAAACATGTCAATCATAAATAAATAATTCAAATGAATCGGTGACTTCTGCTGTCTTCATAGTTTCAAAAACAAATTAAAAAAACAAAACAATTTAAAATGGCATCTTTTCTGCTGAACATACTGTTGTCTTAAAAACTAAAAAGAAAATTGTAAATTACACATACCTTAGAAGTATAGAAGAAAATGTTGTCAGTTTTAAAACCTTGACTTTTCCAAACCGTGGTATACCCAAAACGATTATCATCCCATGCTTATACTTGAATACAATTCCACTCATCGGAAAACAATTAAACGCTGTTTATTTAATTTGGATCTTTTTCTTCATTGAATTCATCCGATGCTGGTAGATTGTTTATTATATTATCTGCACTCCCTTAATCACCCCAATCAATCTAAAATTAAAAATTCTTCCCGAATACTTATTCAACTCATCATGGTGAAATTTTATTAAAATCGCAATATATAATCGCAGGATAAAAAAAGTGCAATGTTAGATTTTCCCAAATATCGTGCAGTCCTACAGAATAATTTACATGACAAAATTAAATGTAAGCAACTCTTAAATAACTAAAAATATTACGAATTAAAAACCCTTTTAATGTGATAAACCAGTAAAAGATAAAACTCACTTCCATTTTAGTATTTCTAAAGTATAACATTTATTAATTCAATGTGCATCTCTGATTATTACTTCAACCACTAGAAACGTGACTGTAATAGTGTTTCTACAATGTGTACAGCATTTGCATTCATTGTAAATATAGGTTTTCTGTAATAAAGCTATTAAAATATTATAAACCGAGGAGTGTGATGAATAATCAGAAACAAATTAATAATAAACATTTAAAACCCGCATGCCTTTCATTCTCATGTCATGAAGCTCAAACAGCCGAAGCCGAATGACAATCCCGACCTTTAAATAAATTAGACACAGGCATCCCGAGCTCAAATACTCACCCATACGACCCACAAATCCCTCCTCCCAGTCAGAGCAGACCATGTTTTCGTCCCCCCGCAGCTGGCCGAGTGAACAAACAGCTTTTTCAAACCGCTGGACACATACGAGGATCAACAACGTCCTTGTAGACTTAAGAGCTCCTAGGCCAGCTTAAATGTTTGAGTGTCTGGAAACCTTATGGTGCAATAAACCTTCGCTGATAAGCCATGCAGAAAATCCCTGGGCCTACTTAAAACCAATGAGATGTGCTAATATATAAAGAGGCGAAGGTGTGTGCCAGACGTCCCCCCGTTTTTGACCCACGGGTCTCCTATGGTGGCCGTTCACTAAAGGGAAGGTGCGAGTCTGCCACTTCAACACATCCAGGAAAAGCTGCACTTATCTCTCACATGTTTCCATGAATGTGCCCAAAATATATAGACACTGCATGGATACGGCAGGCGAGAGCATGTACACACACACACACACACACACACACACACAGAGAGAGAGAGAGATAAGAAGCTAAAGAAATGAGGAACAGCCAGAGTACAATTTGACAAGAGTTATACTCATACAGCTTGTCCTCAAATATCCTGCAGTGCTAAATTAATCAAATATATCAATGCTGACCAAGTCAATCACATGTAGACTATTAAAGAGAAAAAAAACACACTGCACTTGAATCAAGACGAGTTTAAAAAAAAATGTGGCTAGGCATGTGATGGTAGCAAACTTTCTTTTTAACGATGATTACGGAGGCTTTTATTATGCTATTTGATATTATCTTGATAGTGACATAAGCAAAAATAGTGCATATACAAAGTAGTCTACATTGATTTATTGTTTATTATCATTTACCGTAAACGATTGTTTCAATCATTAGATTTCTTTCTTAAGCATTATAAAGTATAATGGGTCTTAGGGCAGCACAATATATAGTTTCAGAATTGATATCGCAATGTGGGAGTCTGTAGTCACATTGTATGGCTGGGCGATTTGGCCTAAAATTAAAATCTCGATTAATTGTAATTTGATTATGATTAATAAACAATTGTTTTATTTAATCAATTTATGTTATTATTTGCCCCTTATAGTTTACTGAGAGGTTTTGTACAGTAAATATGCAGCACTTGATATAAAAATAAGTGAAGAAAACACACACTATCTACTATAGTTATTAAACATCAACATTGAACAACTTTGCCAAAACACCAACAGTCACAAATAAATAAGTTGCACTTTTGGAAACAAAATAAATTATTTTCAATGTGTTTCATATTAAAAGTAGAAAATAAGCAAACTCTTGCATATCCTGTGAATAATATTATGAACGGTGCATTTCTTGCATCTTCCGTAAGCAAATGTTTTAATTTAAATTTTAAATTTTTATGTGATGAAAAGTATGCCATCTCAAGGCATCTCTCGCATAGCTTCGTCAATCGACAATGTAGTGCAAATTAACACAATAGTAACAAATGGTCACATGACTCCACACGCAGTAATTGTAATTGTGAAAAATTTACCTGGAAAATTTTGATTGATTATAGATTCTGAATGCTGATTACTTTTCGATTAATCACCCAGCCCTATATAGCAGGGATCTGCAATGTAGTTAGGACTATATTGACCAGACATTACAGTTAACAACATGTTGGAGTACGTTCATATTTTAACCTTTGAGTAAAAGTTTTTTTTATTTGCATGTGTTTTTAAGGCCTGACTGTAAGAATTTGAAGCAAACTTGAGCCACAATAAATGGGCACAATAAATAACAATATAATAACAATAAAAAAACATTTGTATCTTAAAGATTAATTAAACATTATTTAGTTATTTACTTAATTAAAACGATAGTGTTATTATTATTATTATTATTTATTATTATATTAATAATAATAATAATAATAATAATAATAATATTATTATTATTATTATTATTATACAGTGCTTATTTAATTTCTACTTCTGAATACTGTTTGACTCTACAATAAATGATAAATTGTTTGTTTGCATCTTTTATCTGTTGTATTAAACTATGCTTGTTATTTTTTAAGTATATTTTAAGTTTAAATGCACCAAACTACATTGCCTATATTTACTGAGAAATGGATACAAATATTCATTTTCATAATGGGGTGTACTTAATTATGCGGAGCACTGTATTCTTCCCTACAAAATCATCCAAATCAATCTAAAATGATGAATTCTTTACAAGCTATTCAAGTTATCAGGTGAACGCATTTATATCACAATATATATCGCATTGAATAAAAATATTGTAATGTTAGAAAATATTGCAATCAGTAAATATTAATGTATTTACTGAGATCAAGATTGTGAAATAATGTTTGCATTATGATAAGGTTAGTAAAAATAAAAAAAGCAACTAAACTTTATTAGTCATAATCTCCACAAAAATGTAATTAATAAAAGTGTTTTTATTCATCAGTTGGGTTTAATTGATCACTGATAACTAGTGCTGGGAAAAGATTAATTAATCATTAAATCAATTATTCACAATTAATCATATCCAAAATAAAAGTTTTGACATAATATACATGTGTACATACATGTATATATTTAAAAAAAAATGTGTATTTATTTATATGAGCAATTCCAGAGTTATAGATGTGACATTTACAGCAAAATCTCAAAACATAAATTCCTACAAAGTATGTTAACATTATATAAAAACATCTGTTTATAACATCTGTTTTTCCAAAACAACTACCCAGAGTGATGGAAGGAAAATAAAGATGCATTATGGATGCAACACAAAAAAAGTCTGCGAGTTTACAGTATACAACAAACTTTGTAGAAATTCTGTGAATTAAACTCCACAACCCAAAAGAAATAATGCTAATTAAAAGGAGAGTGTTGCTCGCTATAGAACAAACATGACTAATTTTATTTTATTTAACATTTTTTGCCTTTATGTGGAAAAATCTCCGTTATGGATGCGACATCTATCTATTAGACCCCCATTCGAGGGACCCTCTCGGAAATGAGATGATTCATCTCAAGGGGCTATCCCATTCAATAAATTCAATTCAATTATGGATGTGACAGATGTGAAATTGGCACTTGTGTGATTTTGGTAAATCAAATATAATTCTTCAAAAACATTAAAAGACTTTTTTGAGTATTTTTAAAGCACTGTAAAATACTTGGTTGCTTAAAAAAACACAGAAACACAGTTTCGCTATTTTGGCAAAAACTTTTTTTTTCATGGCAAAGTTGACATTTGCATGGAATTGCTCATATATATTGTTGGAATATCAATCCAATTCCATGCGTGTTCAATAAAAAGGTCAGGAGAGGATTTTCTAAAAATATTAGTAATTCATTAGATACGCATGAATGATTTGATGACAAAGCTCTGTCTTATGTTACACCAATACAATACAAGAATTACATTCAGGAGGTTTACAACAAGTCTACATTTCCCTGACTGCAGTATTAATAAACAGCTGATATTAAAAAGTGCTATATGTGTGTGTATGTGTGTGTGAGTGATGCACATTATATGTAAAATTGAAATATCTATGTAACAAAACTGTTTTGCGTAGTTTTGTTTTTATGTATGTGTATGTATCACACATGTACATAATAAATATATACAACAGACATCCAAATATTATGTCAAATGTTGATTCTGGATGTGATCAACCGCAATTTATCTTTGTCCAGCTCTACTATTAACAAATGTAGCCTTACCGAAAAAGTTATAACAAAGAACATGTTATAAAATAATCTGAACATTTTCAATCAATAACTCAGGCATGTTGTACACCAGATTAACATTTTTTTTTTTTTTTAAATAAACAGCTTATTAAATCTTCAAGCATTTGGTGATGTGAAGAAATCAATGTGAATACAACAATCTAAATAATCCTAAAATCCATTCTAAAAGTAAAAAAACTACTCGTCAGTATTGGGAAATCCCTCCAACATCAATATCCCAATACATTCTATTATTAAAAAGCACATCTAGATTTACCACAAATAAAAAGCTTCAGCTGCAAATTGTAAATAAAAAAGAAAGAAACCAAGATGCTAATCACTAGGTATAGATCAATGCACTGCACCGTTAGTAACAGTAACCAAACTAACAGCAGCACTTCGGCACTTTCAGCAACTGCTGCTCAGCTCAGCTCAGCTCGGCTCAGGCAGCATGAAAAACTAAAGAGCTGCAAGCTAATTGCTGGCGATCATGACGCAAACGGTCTCCACAGTAACGCAGTTTTGGAGTAGCCGCTCCAGCATTTCCTCATCTGTTTGCACTCACACCAGCAGGCTGACAATGCACTCGCTGCATCCTGTTTCAGTGTGCAGACAGCAGCCTCTGTTAACCCTTTCCTCCTGCACCTCAATCACTCACGCTACAGGTGCTGTTAGGACTTTAACATTTTTTAAAAAAAAGGGATTTTGGGGAAGAAATGGTAAGGATCAGCTGGTTTTGTGTTACGGTTCTTTGTGCGGAGCTGCAACGGACAACTTACGAAGTGAGAGAGATGCAAAGAATGCGAGTGAAAGCGTCAGCCGTTGAAATATTCCAGCTTGGCGCGGTTCCTGGCACAACAGAGAACATTTATCTGCCGCTGCCCTCAATAAAGAGCACATTTCACATTAAAACCGGCCCAACACATTATTAGATGATCAAACACTATTACCAACGGGAACCCAACTATAAATCTAGCCGAGACTAAACAAATTGACAACTTTTTTTAATAGGATAAATATGTTTATTTATTATAAGGCATCTGTTTATTATTATTTGTTTATTTTTATTATTTATATAACAACGAAATAACACAAATAACTTATTACAAATATATATATATATATATATATATACACACACACACACACACACACACACACACACACACACACACACACAAACACACACACAAAAACTCAGAATTGTTAGCCCCCCTGTTTAATATTTTCCCCATTTTCTTTTTAACAGACATAAGATTTTTTTCATTTACTAGGTTATAATTAGGTTAACTAGGCAGGTTAGGGTAATAATTAGGCAAGTCATTGTATGATGGTTTGTCCTATAGACTATCGAAAAAATATATAGCTTAAAAGGGCTAATGATATTGAGAAATATTGAAAATAGCCAAAATAAAACTTTCTCCAGATGAAAAAATATTATCAGACATACTGTAAAAATGTCCTTGCTCTATTAAACATAATTTGGGAAATATTTACAAAAGAAAAAAAAATTAAAGGGGGCTAATAATTCTGATTTCAACTGTATAATTAATCATCACAGGGAAATATGCTCATAATATAATCTTTTTTTATTGTTATTATTGTACAAGGGGGAAAATACAGTAATAGAGTGTAGTGCATGGTTATTTGTAGTTCAAATCATTTCAAACCAACAACAACAGTTTTTATTAGAATAAGGAGGAAATAAATTTTAACTGAAATATATGTACATACACTAGCAGTCAAATGTTTGGGGTCAGTAGGATTTTAAAATGTTTTAAAATAAGCTTCTTCTGCTCACCAAGGCTGCATTTATTTAATAATAAAAAACTGTAAAAACTGCAACATTGTGAATCGTTTTGCACTATAAAATAAGTTTAAAAGTAGTTTATAATTTTATTTAATAATTTATTCCAGATTTATTACTCTAGTCATCAGAGTTGAATGATCTTTCAGAAATCACTCTAATATTAACTTTAATTGTTATTATTATTATTATTATTATTATTATTATTACTATTATTATATAATTATAATGGTAATAGTAAAAAAAGCAATAATGACTGGAGTGGTAATTTCATTTGAAACTACATAAGTAACAAAAATATATATTTAATAAATAAATAATTCACAATTTAATCATTTGTTTCTTCATTTAATAAATGCCTTGATGAACAACAAATTTTTTCTATAAAATAATAAGTAAATAAAATAAAATTGACCCAAGCTTTTGACCAGTAGTGTACATATTTAAAACAAATACGAAAAAGAAACAACATAATTAATATTAATAAGTAAATAAATAATTATAAATAAATAAACAATAATAAAACTCATCGACATTATAACAGAATTTGCTTTTGGTCTAAAAAAAAGTGAAGCATTAAATCTGTCTATTAATAACGATGATGATGATCAAAATAAAAATTATTTATTAATTATATATTATGAATGAATATATTATTTGAATAAGTGAATAAGTCCAGTAAAGAGTACATGATTTTTATACAGTAGTTG